TGAAGAAGGAACAAGGATATCGGAGAAAGTGTTCGTTTCCGAGGAACGATCGTACACCAAGCAGACATCATCATCGGAGAAAGAAGGTTTCCCAGAACTGGTGTTGAGTGGAGAAGGTAGCACATTTTCTTCATCTACAGAAACGTCCTCTTCATTTGTCACCACACGTGTTGTTAGCTCCAAGCAGGTCGTCACATCATCATCCACTACTCAACGAATTATCTCATCGGAAGGATCTACAATTCAAGCGATTGAAAATGGTGAATCTGAAAAGGTATATTTTCTAACATTAGAATCAAATTTTCACCCTTACATTCCCAAGATCTTATTGGTAATTCTCCCTGTTGTCTGCTATATGATGTTGGTTCTGAGAACAGGGAAGCGATCAGAGTTTTTCCTAAGGCAACCACTTTACCATTGAAGGCAACTTTTTGATAAATTGAGCATGGAGCTCTAGAATTTGATATTGAATCAAATAATAATCCCCCTAATTGACATTTTCTTTATTCTTGCCACTTTTCCGTTTGATATTGTATTGATATTGTAAGGAGAAATTCTATCTTAGTCACTCATGAGAATAGAAGGAATAACTTAATAAGTGATTGGCTTTGTATGAATTGGATTTATGTTTTTCCTCTTTCATTAAACTGAATTTTTTTTTGCAACTTTCCCACCCATTCTCGTTGTATTTTCAGTGGTCAAAGACCCAAGTACAGTGATCTGTTTAGTGTGTCTAATTAAAAGCTTTACTGTATGTTTCAGCTTATGTTGAATGAATCAGACTTGCAGAAAGCAGCTGAAGATATGATGAATGATGCTCATGACGAGGTAAGAAAATCATTTAACAACTTTCTGTCTTTAGTGAAGTGTTTACGTTAGAAAACTGTTGTTGGTTTGATAGGTCTGTCATATTGGTCACAAAGGAACAAAAACATCAATTCTTTGAACAGGCTATATTAGTCAAAAACTCTTTAAATGAGGATATCCTATCTTAACGGCTCACAACGAACATCCTAAGTTTTGTTGAGGTGGAACATCTCCGATTTGGTTCAGGTATAACTTTTTAGACTAAGCGGCTCGCTTCGAGAATCATTCTGTAATAGGCAGATGTGTATGGCCTTCATTGGTTATGGATAACCGTGTTGGAATCGAAATAAATCTTTGAACAGTGTTTGAGAAATAGTCACTTTTAATTGGCTATTTTCTTTCTTTCTTTTTTTTTCCTTTTTTTTTTTTTTTTTTTTTTTTTTTCATTCTTGAGCATAGAATCGCGTTTAAGGACTCTGACAACTTCTAACAACAGTCCTTCTCAGGACTACACTCACCCAGACGTTTAGACCACATGATCACTTTTTTATTATGTTAAGCAAGCTGCTGATAGTAATATTTGTTTTGTGTGCTGAGGAATGTTTATTTTTGCCATAATTGTTTTTAGGTTGAGCAAGCTTCCAGTTGAGAAAGGCAATCCTTTTAGAACAGGTCCGAGTGAAGTTATTTTCTTTTCATTAGTGGTTTTTACGTTGGCGTTTTTGTTCTGGTGTCGTTTTAAGTGTCCTTTCTCTCTTCTTGAGCTCGTTAATCCTTTTCGTTATAATTTTGTAAAAATTCAAACTACAGCGGCGTTACTGTAAATTAATTTTGCATTAATTTCTGTTTTGAGCTTCCATCACAGTCCTGAAAGTTTTCAGTTAAAAAAAATATATATATTAAGTTGGAGCTTGTTTAAGAGCTAAAGAGATTGCTGTTTAAGTTTTTAAACCGTATTAACCCTTTGACCCCTTAGTGTGACCAGCATCTAATTTCTCCTTACAATATCAACCATGAATCACAGTTAAAGGTTACGAGAATGAAGGAAATGATCACCTACTAAAGAAACTATTTGTTGTAAAACAAATTCTCCTTGTCAGCACCTTAGGAAATGTATGGAGAACAGTATGGAGAATTTGCATACTGATGTTAAGGTGAAAGGAGTTTTAAATGAATTGGGTTGGCGGTCATTTAAGAGCTGAATAAAGTGCGGTTTAGGCTCATAAATTTTATCACAGAAGGTAAATTGTACAACACTCAACATGAACCAGGATGAAGTCAACTATGAAGTTCTGAAGGAAACTCAATTCAACATTTTGGCATTTTTGTTTTGCTTGAATTTCTTAAGCTTTTTCATCTGGAGACTTAGAACGGGTTTTTACATTTCGTAAGACCTCTGATTCTAAGAATTATAAATATCTTAAACTTGTGTTACAGACCTACTTTTCAGGCCCATTTACGGTCTTAAACTGGTAGAGTGTTTAAACGTTTCAGTAAACCTTTCAAGTGTGTACCGTCCTTAGCCTAAGCTGACCAGTTTAAAATGACCATCTTCAAAGCTTAAAAAATTCCCTTGAGGGATCCTAAATACTAAACCTTATGACAAAATCTATCTGAAGTCTTCCTTAACAAACTTAAACGTAAGCCCCGACGTTTTTTTTGTAAAAGAATTGTCAAAGAATAATCAATTTTTGTGTTAAACTTGTAAAAAATTAATTTTAATATTGTTCGGATTAATGCTTTGTACTTTGTAAGTTTTGTCAAAACTTGTTGGAATCTCTTCTTTTCATAAAATTTAATTGTGCGGGGGAACCTTTGCCAGATAGTCTACTTCGCACCCTTTGTTTGGTCCCGTCACGCAACTGGCAAGATGGGGAATGGAAGACATTGCATGGTGAGACGAAACAAGGGTTGTGAAAGAGACCACTCTTCCAGCTGGCAGTTCACAAGTAGTATATCTTGTGAGAAGTTAATGTTAGTGGTAACAAGATGCTATTTATGTTTCAAATGAGTGTCATACAGCACATGTATTACAAAACAGGCATTAGAAAATGAACCAGCTAGACCTCAAAAGGGAGAATTAGAATCCTTACTAAGCTCTAAAGGCGTGAAATCAATTTTGTGTCAGTTAAGTTTTCAATATTGTTTAGTTAAAGTTGTCGCCCCAGTCTTATGACTCATTAGAAAGGAGCCTTTTCAGTCAACTATGGGAAGAAATGGAGGATTAAATCCATTTCGTTCTGTGAATTGCGCCAACTTTTCAACCAATCGGATACAAAGTCAACACCAATCACGACGTTATCGTCTCTTTTCTCGCGCTTCGGGCAATTTGATTTTAATACCGAATTCTCATTGGCTGTCTGTGTCAATGCCATTTTGAATACGTTTTGACACTCAAATGAAAATCACCGAGTTGGTAGACAAGGTGAGCTTCCTGATGATTTAGTCGACTCCTGTGACAGAAGCATTGAAGCCGAAAGGCCTAACAAAGTTTGCCTGTATAGGGTGATGTAGGAATACAGAAGTCTGACTTCAGCTCTTGTTTTTATTTCTTCTACAGATGGGTTCTATTGATTCCTCTGATAATGATAAAGAACTAACCTCAGCTAAAGGAAAAGGATTCAAGAGCCCTGGGAAACTATTTGTGAAGAGGAGCACTGGAGACGATACTGTCGAGACTGCAGGCTCCTGAATCTTGACTTTGGTGTTAGCCTTGTATTCAGTACCTTTTAGGGACACGCAATTTTGGCCCATTTTTTCTTTTTCTTTGTTTCTACTAGTGGATGGATAATCACAGTAGGCTTTTGGACGTTTTGTAGCCAACTGAGTTAAATAGCTTCACCAAGTAATTAGTTATCACAAAGAATTGTTCCTTTAATTGGTTAATGTAGTTTATTGTCAACGAGAATCAGACATAATTGGTAGATTAACGTGCATCACTTGAAAAGCAATGGTGGCGAATTCCGAGTATGCAAGAGATTTAAATACAAAACAAGAATTGATTTTGCAGATATGAATTTCAATCTCAGCTACGCCTCAACCATCTTGGACAAGGCATCTTTATTTAATTGATCCTCAACTGTAGCAGTCTTTTTTTGTGCAAGAGGAGTTCTTTTTTTTTTCCTTTTTTTTCCTTTTTTTTTTTTTCAGGATATATTCTGAATGATATTTTCGCAAAGAAATGGCATGCTTTCCGTCTCCATTCATCTCAAAAATTCCCTATCGCTTTTCATTTTTGTTTTCTTAATTAGAGTGAACTTGTGGCTCGATTGTTTGCCTGTTCATGAGAAAGTGACAAGCATTTGTGCTTAGTCCAGTGCCTTACACTTGAATTAGGTTTTTAACTGTAGTATAATTGTTTTAAAGAGTGGCTCTAATTAAAGGTCGTTCTTGTTAAATCCACTTGTGTTCCTTCTTTAATACTGTAGTACTCCTCTCCCATGGTTGGTCTGCCCATCCACCGTAGTCGATCTAACACAAAAATGATGAGTGTGAACTTCAACAAATAAAGCGAATCCGAAGAAAGCATCTGTGGTTGTGGTGGTAACCCTATCGCGGCAACCTTTAGCGTAGTCCACGTTAGAATTGATTTTTACGTTTTAGTTTAAGACGCCAGAGCAACCCCGGAGAGACAGGGTCTGCATTACCCCCTCCCCCCCTCCCTTCTTGCGCTTTTCTCCATCAAGTCATTGCTCTGGACAATGGTCCAAGAGAACATGGCGACTTCGTAAACAGACTATTGAGTCCAAAATCTCCTTATAACCCTTGTGACTTGTAGCCTGCCCCGTTTTCAGAAGTTTTTCTTTGAAAAGATAATTAAATGAAATCGGATGGAAATTAAAAGGAGAAGGAAACGGAGACAGACTCGAAAGAAGCTGATCGGTGGTCCATTTTGTCTCGGGCAAAATCTCACACTTATCGCATAAATTATTGGATGATTTTTAAATAACGTTAAAACGTAAGGGCTGCTTTACTGTTGCTTGGGTCTTGATCTGAATTATACTCTGGTGCATGCTGCTGGTCGTAAATATTCCCATACAAACTCTTATAATTTCGCCATCACTCTTATTTCCCCAAGATAATCATCTAACAGCTGGAGCTTGGGCTGCCTGTGCTTGAACAACGATGGGAAGGCTGTTCCTTTGTCTGAGTCTCTCCCCAATCTTCCATCTAACTTCTCCTAGAACCCTGGATAGATTGGTGTTAAATGGCGGCCCCGAATAGACTGGTATCTCTTGCCTTTGAAGCCGTCACTACACCGCACATTCATGGTGGTTATAGCGTACTACACGCAGCATGTATGGAAAAGGATGTTAGAACTTGCAGAACTATTTTGTCTTGTAGCCCCAGCAAACTGGACACTATAATAGCCTTGAATGTTAGAGTTCCTAAGAGGTTAATAGACACGTGCCAGACCAAAGCAACATTGAGAGATCTTGCCAAAAACAGGAACTGCTCTTCAGAATTATTGCAGGTTCTCGAAAAGGCTGAAAAAAATACACAGCATTTGTCCCTCGTTCACGAAGCAGCAAAGAACGGGAGTGCCAGACACATGAAAAGAGTTTTAAAGCTAGGAGAAGACGTAAACAAGCCGTCCCCATTTCGAGATGACGGAGAAGCCGCGCCCATTTTAATTGCGGCAGCATCGAATTCGTGTGAAGTTGTACGATTTTTGGCTGAAAACGGTGCAAACGTTGATGCAAAGGACAGGAGCAGAAGAGGTGTTCTACACTACGCAGCTATGGGAGGAAATAAAGAAACAGTCTTGTACCTACTTCGTTTGGGTGTTCCTGTGGACTGTCAGTCAACATGGGGTAGAAGTGCGTTGCATATGGCTGCTGTGAAGGGTCATGCAGAAACTTTAGCCGTTCTTATTCACAATGGAGCAGATCTCCATGCATCTACAGGATTTGGTGACACTGCTCTCTTGCTTGCTGCAGAAGAAGGATGTCTAGAATGTGTTAAGACACTTGTTCAAAATGGAAGCAGTGTGGATATGTCAAACATGGCCTGTTACACTCCTCTTCATAATGCAGCTAAAGAAGGCCACTTAGAAGTTGTCTCTTACCTGCTAAAAAAGGGAAGTCATGTCAATGCTATGTCTGCTAAAAGAGAAACACCAGTCAGCCTAGCAGTGCGAAAAATTAACAACAAAGAAATTGTTGCAGTGTTACTTTTAAGTGGAAGCAGTGTAAATTTGGCTGATCGGTATGGAAGGACCCCACTTCACTACTCTACTGACAAAGAAATTGCTGAACTTTTAGTTAACAATGGTGCAGACATTCATGTCGGAGACTTTGAGGGCAAAACACCACTGTTCTTAGCAGCTCTAGATGGTTATGAAGAGGTTGTTGGGTTCCTTATTAAAAGAGGAAGTGATGTCAATAAGCGGGGTGATTCTGGTGATACACCACTCCATGAGGCAGCGATTAGGGGACACACCAATATTGCACAAATATTGTTGCAACATGGGGCCAACATCAATGCAAGGAGAGTGACAGGGGAGACTCCTTTGTTTCTTGCAGCCATAGCCTGCAAGGGTAAAATAAAACAACTCTTAATTTCCCATGGTGCTGATATGAATATTTCAATTCCAGAGAATGACTGAGAGACGTTGTTTTTGAAAGAATGATAGAAAAATGTTTATTATCTTGGAAAAAGGGTCATTTGCTGCATTTGACTTAAAAAAATAAGTTAGAATGTAAAATTCCTCTCATACTTGATGGCATTTCAACTCAGCTACTAATACCTTTTGCTCTAAGGGATAGAACCTACAACCATTGGCAGACCTTTAAAGACAACTTGTTTACAGGCAAATGTTACTTCCTGGCTTTAACAAATGTCCCTCCCCAGCCCTACCCTGGTAAATCTGTTTTGTCTTGCTACAACAATATTTTTTAAAGGGAAAATAATGTTCGAAAGAATAAGATCATCATTACAAACCCCTTTCAGCACTTAAAATAATGGCGGTCTCTTCCATGAGATGTGCTCAACTTCATTTGACATTGGTTTCCAATTACTAGTTTTGAGGGCTTGTGACATGCTAACTAAAAATCAAACCAAAGAGATGCTTCTTGATCATGACACACACTTGGGCTTAGTTGTATAAAGGGCAGATAACTCTATCCAGTTGATAAATCACTATCCAGCAGATACATGATTCCAAAACATACTTTGCTATCCACTGAATAGAGATTTATCCAATGGATAGCATTATCCAAGCTTCAAACAACCAGGATCTGAAGAACATTCATAAATGATTCTATTTCCTACACTGTAGCCTTTTTAAACCCCTTACACCTTAACATCAGTATGCATATTCTTCAAACTGTTATCCAAACATTTCATATGGTTCAGACAAGGAGAATTTGTTTATTAAACAAGACTTCTGTAACTTAATGATCATTTCATACATTCTCATAGCCTTAATGTTTGATTCAGGGGTTATAGAGTAGGGAGAAATTAAGTGCTAATCACTCTTTGACCAGTATTTAATCAAAAAAATTTAAATTAGGGGATTATAAGTTGATACAGTATCAAATTCTCCCAACTAACATCATAAGAATTGTATGGCAGACAGTAAGAAGAATTACTAATGAGATCTTGGAAAAAAAAGGGTTTGTCCACCTTACCAGCCAGAGGGTCCCTCCTGCTGGTCTGGCTTTTTAGTGGCTTGAAGTGGTTAGGTGAATAGTCCATTTTACAGTTGTGTGCTTTGTTGCCAAGCCTTTGAACAGGAATGAGGCTAAGGATGACCTTGTTATGATACAAACCTTGCTGCTTTTCAAATGCAAATTACTTTGTTATCATGCTAACTAGATACTGGTCTTTATCACAACAAGGTCACCTTCAGCCTCACTCCAAATCAAAGGCTTGGCAACTAAGTACATAACTGTAAAATGGCCTATTGAACACCTCTCAGACAGGATGCCAGTTCATAACAGGGTCAGCTACCAGGGGAGGTTGAGAAGGAATGGGGCTGCCTTTACCTCCATTGACCCAGGTTCCCACTCGGTAACTTTCAACATGGCGGAGAACATTGTGAGTTGACCGCTAGATTTCTCATGAAATTGAAGTGATCAAAGCAGTAAAACTCTCGTCCCAGCTTTTACTTTCGTCATGGAAAAGGGAAATTCAAAAGAGGGAAGGAAAGAGAAAAAGAAAGCTAAAAAATACGAAGGGCATCGTGATCAGAAAAGTGTTGCGATGGCTCGCAAATTTAGTCAGAGTGAAACTTTACCGAAAGGGCAGAAACGTGCACGAGATTCTGACGGAGAGAACTGCCAAAGAGATATTTCAAGTAAAGAGGGAAAGAAAATAAAGAAGGAGACAGTTGTTGAGAGGACAGAAGAGTGCAATAGCACAACTGATAATTGCCAATCTAAAGGCGAACAAAAAGAGAGATTATCTAAAGGTAAGCTAAAACCTCGTGAAAGAACACAAGAACCCACAAGCTCAGAAAAATGTAAACTGAGAAATTTTGGCGAAGAGCAGCTCGTTAGTTTCGGAAAAGAAGACAAGTTTAGGGAAAACAGAGATCAAGAAAGTCTCGACAAAGAGAAACGAAAGAAAAATTCACGTGGTAATGACAATTATTCGGCTCAAAATGAAGAGGAACGCGAGAATAGGGAAAATTCCAAAGGAAAACATGATAAAAAATTGAAAAAATCGACTATCGTCGTTGGGAAGAAAAGGACAAAAAAGAAGCCTGATGATAATGCCTTTTTTGAAGAACAATATTCAGGTAACCCGGAAAACATTCATGATATAAACATTGATGATTGTGAGATAGAAAGCAAAAAGAAAAAGAAAAAGAGGAAAACAGGAAATGAGTTACATTACATATTTGATGCACAAAGTAATGAAGGACTTCATGAGGAAATGTTAGAGACTTGTGAGGATGCAGTCAAGGCAGAGATGAATAATGAAGGGAAAAAGAAGAAAAAGAAATCTAAACAAGAACTGCAAAAGGAATCAAAATCTGCCCTTCATCCAGCTATTGACTACTTGCACACATGGTTTAACAATAGGCAACACTGGAACTTTAAGAAAGTTCGTCAAGTGTGGCTTCTGAAGAATATGTTTGATCAAGAGCAGGTCAGTGAAATTAATTGATTAGATATTGTTAAACTTGAAAGCACTTTCAAAAGCTTTGAACAGAAAGCTCAAAAAGTTTAATACTTAAGTGAAGAGGGGTTGATTTTTAGAGCATGTAAAAAGCAAAGTTCTCTTACTTGGTAATAACAAGGAAATAAGAAAAAAAAATTTTTTTCCAATTTGTCTAAGATCTGCATGAATATCCCTTTTTAGTAGAGAAACAGCTTTGCAAAGGATAGATGTTATTATAAATGGTTGAAGCTTCTAAACAATTGGCTGGAATATGGAAAACTAGTATTATTAGTATCTTGCAATAAGATCAGTAAAACAAGGGTAAGTTGCTAAAAGTGTTTTACACAGTCTTGGATTTGGAAGTAGGAGTCTCTGCCTCTCATGAGTCCTGATTTTACTATTTACCATCCCTCATTGTGTAACCCTCTTCAAAAACATTAAAAAATTATTTTAAACAAACAATTTCAGATATGAAATGAAGTACAAACAATTTAAACTAAACTAATCCAACCTTTCTTTAGATCTCTGATGAAAACTTTGGCATTCTGCTTAAATATCTCGAGGGACTGGAAGGAGCAGCAAAAGAGAAGACTATAAAGATAGCAGAGCGAAGGCTCGACTCTGGAGAAGGTTTGTATATGAAGACATTTATGATCAGTGATATAGTTGGAAATGGACATTTATTGTATCTGTGATGTTAAAGGAAGTGACTAAAACCCCTCAGCATATTAAAGTGTTTCCTGGCATCTCCCCTCCTCATTAGGGTGGATGCTTGTCATCATTGTAATGTAAAATCTACTAGCTTCCTACCACAAATGCAGTAACCTGATTGGCCACATTACTGGCTGCATATTGCCTGATAGGCAGTGAACAAAATTATTTCGCTAACATTGTATAGTTAGCAAAAAAAGAAAAGAAAATATGAGCTTGTTGCTAAAATTTGAATTAACTAACAGATTTACTCTGAAACAATTATGCTATTCACTCTTAATATCCATGTATAATAGTTGATTCAGGCCTCACTGTCATCAGCTATTTCATGAGAGAAATCTCTGTTAACCAAATCCAGGAAATGCTCATTATTTATTTCTAGAGGGGTCAGAGGATTTTAGTTAGGTCACAATAAAATTTGACTGACCCCTCCATAAGGCTTTGTAGTATTCTTCTGATCCCCTCCTCATTGGCAGTTAATTGGTGATCCATTTTCTATAGTCCTTCTTTTATTCTCTGTCGGCAATGACTAATCCCCCCTCTGTTTGCACTGAAAACCATGTGATCCCCTCTCAAAATCCTCAAATCACCCCTTCCCCCCTCCCCATGGACAATCTAATCTTATCAAACCTAACCAAAAGCAGAGAGTTTAATCCTATTCTTCATTGTGTTAGCTTTTCCTTTGGCCCTGGTTCACTACTTTGTACTATTTTTCTCTTACAATGTTAGGGGGAAGTGAACAGGATACTGTGGTTGAATCCAGAGTTCAACAAGTGCTTCAGATGCTGACAGAGTAAAGAAGGGCTTGGGAAGAAGAGGATATTTATTACTTGTGATGATTTTTTTTTAACATTCTTGTGTAAAATGATTAAAAAAAATGAAATGAAAGAAAATAATTTTTCCAAATAATGGCTTTTTTAAAGGAGATCTGCAAGTAACTGATTTCCCTGAGAAACAAAGAAAAGCTGTGTGCAAATTTGTTCTATTCCTTGTTTCTAGATACACCAAAATGAAACTTAAATGTGTGTAGCTTTTTTGAATGATACACTTATAGAAGAGGTTTGAAAACTTACCTCAACTCCCCCCCCTTTTTTCTGCCCCCTTTTTTTTTCTGCACCCTGTAGAGCATAATGCTTCAATTACTTTGTGAAAATATTAATCAGTGTACATCCCTGCATGTGATCATTGCATGTGATCTTCTCAGTCAGCCATTAACCCTTTAACTCCCAAGACCAGATTGTTACTGAATTCTCCCCCTGGTTGCTACACACTTCTATATAAATTAGCTACACAAATTTGGTGTTAGATCAGAATAACAACCACTACCAGAAGCTTTTAACCTAAGGTCATAAGCTTCTGTTACTACTGGATAAGTTTGAGTGTTCTCATTACCTGTTTGCTGGATAACGTATTGATATTATGGGGAGAAATTACATGTTAATCACTTCTTGGAGTTGAATGGTTGGTTTGCATTTCGTTATCGATCGCACATGCGGTAGCCTGCTCTAGTACACGCCCCAGTTTCGTCTTTAGCTAATATCCCACATTTTTCCTAAGGCTCCTCTGCTTCACGAGACCGATCTCCACCTGGATGAGAAATTTTAAAATCTCGAAGATCTTGGAAATAAGATGTTGATTTATCTCTTTGTTTAACTCAGTACGTATTAACATCTTAATTTGTGGAAGATTTATCTCAAAAATAGTCAGGTTCTCGGGCGAGTGAGTCAAGATGAATTGAAACAAATTTATTTATTTATTCGAGACCTATGAATAAATAAAAAAACGTTTCAAGAATAATTATGCTAAAAACTCAAATATCGCGATTATAACCACAGTTGTCGACGTGTAAATTTTGTTTGAGTTCTCAAAATGTGTTCATTAATGAAGCAGTGAACGGGGTTACTTGGGCAGTTATGTCTTCGTTCCTTTGTGATGGTGATACCACTGGGCAGGTAAATAGTCATGTATGGATTACACCTATTGTCCTAAATTGTTTTCATTTTCATCTCACTTACGTTGCGCCGATGAACTTCTCGCTGTCTCGCTTGCGAAAAAGCGACAAATTTTGGTAACATTGAATTTCGTCAAATCTGATGAGTTTTGGAAAGAAATCTAGCTTAAATCCAAGAGAGCTCAAGATATGCACGTGATTTCAATGTACTTTGACTGCTGTGTATAATATCAATGTATTAAGTACCATATTGTTTTCAGTTCACGTAAATGTAACACAGGCCATAGAGAGACGAATTTAAAGGAATAAACAATTGTAACTAAATTAAATTGTAATAATACATAGTAACAAAAACTAGATGTCTAGCTAGATGAAAATAATTGATTCAGTAGAGGAAATGATCTTCAGTGAAAAAGCACCGGCTTTCAACGCTGATGAAATTCGCAAATTAGTCTATATAAATCTACCGACTAAGAATCTGATGACATGAAACTGTGCTTGTGACGATCGTATTGTGATCAAATACTCATGGTTCTTTTTGAGCCTCAAATAATAGTTCTATCGTATGTCTGTCCTCTATCAGACAGGTCAGCTTTTCATGACTTTAATTTGAAGTGAGTGGCAATAGCTGTAGTGATCTGATGGGGTGAAAAACATTTTTAAGGTTTCGAACCTAACTCTACCTTACCGCTCTGAGTACAAACCCCCTCTCTCCCCCTCCCCTTCAACTTCCAGATTGCATTTACAAAGCCTACACACAGTTGAATAGAAACAGTGAAAAGAACAAGCCATTTAGACCAAAATTTCTGCCAAAAGTTTTTGTTTTCGTGATAGAAAATGTTAAATTTTCGACGTCTTACACCGAGGGTACGCACCATGTAACAGTCTGCCGCCACGTTTACAAAAAGCACCCTCCCCAAGTACTTATCAAACGGTACTCGTTTTTGGTCTAAGATTTTGGGCTAACGTAGTTAATGATGTCTCAACAAACAAAGATCGCAGTCTTAGTCTCATTATTAGGGCTGGATGGACGCTTCCATGGACCAATGAAAAAATTGAATGCTAAAAGTTTAAATACATTTCCTAAGTGAGCCAGTTTAAAGGTCAAGAAGACGTGCCCATAAGGCCATGTCAAGGAACATACCTTTGAAATTTTAGTAATATCAGGTGTATTATGAATAAAAATCGACAGTCAGATGATAATAAGAATAGTCTCTTAGTTCACCAAAACTGAATGAATGGCTGACAGAGAAAGAATAATGAAAATAAGCTTCACCGATGTACAGGTGAAATCGTGTAAGGAAAATAAAAACGGTTTTAATTATTTCCATTATCTTTACGACTATGGCCGAGTTGGTACATTTAAGGACACCTTTTATTACAACAAAAAAAATAATGTTCCTAAAAAAAAATTACACCATTCAAGGAAAAATGTAACGTGTTAACGTTGATGAAGGAAGAAAATCGTAAAATGAGGTATACAATCCGTAGCTCGGTGCTCCTGGTAAAAAAAGATGGACGTGAGTAAAATTAACCCGAATTTGAATTACATCGAATAAAATGAGACAAAACTGTGTAAACAGACGTAATAGATCGACGTAAATAGGTACTAGAGGTTTATATTGCCACAAATTAAAAATGAATTATTGCGAGAATGCGGGGGCGATAAAGCGCCCTATTATTTTCTTTATTCTGAATTTGGAACCGGTTCGCATTGCATCGCAATTCCTCTAAAAGTAGAATTTAAGCGACTTGAATTCATTATATGTGCAATTCAATTTTCCACTTTCTGTTAAGTTAGCGCTACCTATGGCGCCCAAAAAAAAGCTTGTTGTGAAATTTTGGTGAAGGGTTGCCCTGTAGAACCGTCTCGTGGTTTAATTGTCGATCTAAGTATTTGACTCCTTGTACCCACGCATTTCGTTTTCGACGTCACATTGACGTCACAGCATGGCTGATATTGGTTAAGTAGCTGTGACGTCACGTCAGTTCTTCTCCGATCGACATTTGCGAGCAAAATGGCGTCTAAAAGGCAGGATGGTGATGCTGAAGCGCTCAAGCAGTGCGAAGTCTATGTGGAAAAATATAATATCCAAGCTATTCTTAAGGACTGCATCGTGCAGTTATGTATCAAGAAGCCAGACAACCCTCACAAGTTTTTTCGGGAGTATTTTGAAAAGCTCGAAAAGGTGATTTTATTTAGCTCCACGTCGAAGCTTTGTTCTACTGTTTTGTTATTTTTTTATGCCGAGTTTCTTCTACGATTTTCGGCGTGTAATGCAATCTGACGAGTAATTTTGCTTCATGATTGAACAACGTCTCTTTAAATTATTTTCCAGGAGCACGAAGCAGAGCCGCAGGAACGCGGCGAACCCGAAGAAAAACTAGAAATTGAAGATCTTCCAGGTCCTGTTGGCGTCTCCAGAAAACGCCGCGGAGCTGTTAGTGCTGGACCTATTACCGAAGATGAAGCTACGTCTTATGTGAAAAAGGTAATATGATTGAAAGGTCTTAAAGATTAGTGAGGTAGAGAACTAGTCTCGGTGAGAATCGCGACAACTGACGCGGCCCTTTCTTGGTTATATTTTGATATAGGTCGTACCGAAAGACTACAAAACCATGGCCGCCCTGTCGAAGGCGATCGCGAAAAATATTCTGTTTTCTCACCTGGACGAAAATGAAAGAAGGTAAGCGGGAAGGATGCATTTCAACTGGGAGTGTTGCTTTTCGATTTAAGAAAATTTTTAGGTTCAGAGCGTAAATCAATGTTGTTTTTCCTTCAGCGATATTTTCGATGCTATGTCTTTGGTTAAACACAGTGCAGGCGAGATTGTAATTCAGCAAGGTAAGGGATGAATACGCTTTGATTTCTCAAATTTAAACTGGTATACTCGGATCCTCTAAATATACTCTCTCATTTTATGTAAGAAGTTGTCTTTCTGCCTGTAGACTAGGACTGTTTGTATAATTAGAGCTGTGCGATTGCTGTCGTACCCTTTTTTTCTACAGCGTGGATCAAAATTTTCTCAAGCTTAACGAGATTAATGAGATTTTTTCTTCTAAAAAGCGGCGATATTGTTTGAGTAATCTCCCACTCCTTGCTCAAAGTAATATGTAACTCTACATTTGAAGTTTCAAGGCCATAACATTTATCTTTGTGCTGTTTCAGGGGACGAGGGCGATAACTTTTACATCATTGACAGCGGTGAAGTCGATGTAAATGTTCTTGTTGGCTATTTACATAATGTTGAACAGTCACCTAAACACATTACCACATTACAAGGACTCTCAAAAATTCTCCAAACTTTTGCCGGCCTCGTTTTATCGCTCACGAAATCGGATACCACGTTTTAAATGTGTATTTTATCTTGAGGACTTAAAATCGCAGACATCTCTCAGCAAGATGTTTCATGAACATTGTTTGTTTATTAACTTGGGAAGGATTAAGTATCCGTAAATTATGCCCAGGGATAGCTTTTCTGATTGTTTACCGTCAGCCAGTCAAGATCTTCATTAGAAAAAAAGGAAAAAAATTACGAGAAAAAAGTGACAAGAATGGCCAACCAACAAAATGTGAAATGTACAATTTCTGATGGTTATGAACAACATTTTAAAGTGCTAAGGGATGAAACAAGGAACATCAAGTGACAGACTTCATGTGACAACATTTGTTGATAGATTTCTACTTTAGTCTACAATATGGATACTCGTGTTTTATACTCTGCAGTGCAGCTTTCAAATTCTCAAGGAAAGTGGGGTTTGATCATCGGTAATGCAGAACTACTGAACAGGGTAATCCCAGAAATGCTAAGAACTAATTATGATTTCTTTATTTGCTTTTTATAGGTGTTTGTTAGTGATGAGTATGTGTCTACCATTGGTGAAGGAGGCAGTTTTGGTGAACTAGCCTTGATTTATGGAACACCAAGAGCAGCTACCATAAAGGTAAGAAAACTGGATTGACTGCTTTTGTTATTTGGTTGATTTCACAGCTATAGAGGTATTAGGGTTACTGAGCAGACTACTTGTTTAATAGCAAATAACCATGTTGAAAATTAAAACAATTGAGGATAAAATCATGATAGATACCTGTGAACTTTTACCCTTAGCTTAGCTAGGCATAAAAAATTCCTTTATTCTACCAACCATTTTAGCTTGCTGGCTTGAATTGCAAATCTGTGCCTTGGCTTATATTACTCACTGTTAAGAAAAGCTCCTCCAATTAATTTAAATTCCAATTTCTTTAAGTTTTGTTTTTTCTACCCTATGATGCATGAGGTCTTACTAATGTTTTCTTTCAATATTTTTGGTGTGAAGAAAAGTAGGAATATTACAGGAAAGCAACCACTTTGTAGTCCAAAACCATGGTCACTAATAGCTCTGCAGTTTACATTGCAATGGATTTAGGGCTCTGGCTGATGTTGGCTGCTTGAAAATCACATCTTTTTCTTTTTGTTTCTGCCTCCTAGTCACGAACTGATGTGAAGCTTTGGGCCATTGACCGAGTTACTTACCGTCGTATATTGATGGGTAGCCAGATCCGTAAGAGAAAAATGTATGAACAGTTCCTGGAGAAAGTCAGTATCCTTGAATCCCTTGATAAATGGGAACGTCTCACAGTGGCTGATGCACTGGAAGCTGTCACTTATGAGGATAATGAAAATGTTGTAGTCCAAGGAGAGCATGGGGATGAATTTTACATCATTGTCGATGTAAGAATTATCTTTAGTATTTACAATACACTGATTTTCTTTTAAGCCACTTGCTTTTTTATAGTTTAGTCTCAACAACAGTTAGATCAGTCTCTGTTTTTCATTGTGATAGCTCATAGTACTAAATGGAAGACATACCTTTCTTTGTGCAAAAGTCATGACCCAGTAATAAATCAATTATTCATTCACAAGGTGCCAAGAGGAATAATGATACTTATTAAAAAAGAGTGCCTAGGCAAAAAAATAACACAAATGTGAATATGACTATATCTGAAACTTACTGAATGGGTGAATAACTAAATGAATGATAAAATATGAAATCTAGAGTGGATTATGGTAGTTACAATTCGAGGTATGGCAACAAAAGCTGAAAATCACTTTGTCAATTGATTAGTATAATGTAATTGATTAGTGTGATGTAATTACAATGCACTTGCACCTTGAATTTTAACTTTAAGATTTCCAATTGGTAATGAAACAGCACAGAAAAACAACTAGTTAACAGATGAACTTACGGAATGCTCATAAGGCATACAATGTATCAAATGAAAATCACATACTGAACACTCTGCGTTTTGAAGAGAAGGAAACAATTATCTGTAATTTTGTTTCTTTTGTTTTTTTTTTCCTCCAGGGGGTAGCTGTGGTTTTGCAGCGGAGGTCACCAAATGAAGATTATATAGAGGTCAGCCGGCTAGGACAATCAGACTACTTTGGTGAGAGCAGTACTTAATTGAATAATTTAGGAAGTCAAATGTTTAGATTGACAACTGAGCTGATATTTATGATGCACTGATTATTAATTTTTGATTGAGGAGAGGGAGAGAGAGAGAGTCAAGAATGATATAATCATGAAGTTTGAGGTGTACCATTTGAATAAATCTTGTACTTGAAAGGTTGTAAATTCTAATACAATTTTTCGCTTGGATGCGATGTGAGTCCCTTTTAAGTCAGAATGCACATTGTGAGAGGGCTTAACCCTCAAAATCCAAAGATTGACTAGCATCTAATTTCTTTGTACATAATTACTACATAATCAAACATAGGGATCAAAAGAATGAAGGAAATGCTTGTAGCTTAAGAAGCTCTTGATTATTAAACATGTTCAAGATATGTAGAGAAGAGTCTGCACAGTTTGCTGGTGCCTATTTTACTTATTGGTTGCAAAATGCATTGCCAGTGCAATGTTGTAGCCCAAGAACACAATGCTGTGACTTGGCCATGGTCAAACTCAGACTTGCTATTTGAGTACTAGCCCACTGTATCTCAGATCATCCTACAATACTTTTTAATTCTTCTGTACACATCTTTTTATTGCAGGTGAAATTGCCCTGGTTCTTAATCGTCCACGTGCTGCAACAGTGCGGGCAAAAGGAACCCTTAAATGTGTCAAACTTGACAGGCAGCGCTTTGAACGAGTGTTAGGTCCCTGTATCGACATCCTCAAAAGAAACATCCAGCAGTATAACAGCTTTGTTTCTTTAGTGGTGTAATAGAGTTAGTGGTCAACTACAGATTGTAAAAATGTAGCCGTGTAACAGATAAGATGATTATGTGAGTGGTAAATAAACTAAAATGTGTATACATTAGTCTACTTGCAGGAGGTCATGATACTGCAGTGGTGAGTTTAGATGCAATATATCTTAGCATGGTTAAGTTATTAACATATCTCACCTCAGGCTAATAATATTTTCAGTTGGATACACTGCAAGTCATTGCCAGTCTTGATTATGTTTGCCTGTTGAGGATTTTCGACACCATTCTTCTGTACATTAAAGTTCTGTTTGCTTTAAAAAGTTGGAGCTCAATCAACAGGCAATTTTTAAAATTATCTTTCATCATAGGAAAATTTGCCTTATTAAATTGAAAGGAAGAAAATTTCTGCAAATGTTGATAACAATTTAAAGTTACTCTAGATCAAGCTATAAAAACTTGTGTAATTGTAGTCATTGAAAGGAATAAAATACCTGGACTATGATTTTGAATTTATGGAAAGTGAGTTGAGAACCTTTATCAGTTTGTCTTTTGAAACAGTGTTTTACCTAACCCTTTAACCCCTAAGAGTGATGAGCATATAATTTCTCATAACAATATGGCCCCTTAGTAATAAATCATGGTCACAAGAATGAAGAAAATGATCAGCAACTGAAGAGGCTCTTGATTGTTTTATCAATTCTCTTTGTCAGCACCCTGGGAAATGTATAGGGAACAGAGAGGGGAATATGCATATTGATGTTAGGCTGTGAAGGGTTGAGAGTTGCCCAGTGTAACAAGATCATATCCTTCTCTTCTCTCAGTTTGATTGTTTTGTGAATGGTGTTAATTTATAGTTGTATGTGTCAAAACATGAAAAAGAGCTATGTAATTAAGTAATTGTAAGGATGACAAATAAACATTGCAGTAAACTCAACACTGTCTCTTATTGTGATTGGAATTGTTGTTGAAATGTTTAGAAAAGTAAAAGATGATTTTCTAATATTTTTTTATATGATACCTGTTACATGATTTGAAGCTAAACCTAGGTTATTGTGGATATAGCCTATGTTACATTTTGTTGGGTTAAAGTAGTCTTGCTTATGAACGAAATCTTGGAAAGTCATAGGGTAACCGGTCATTTCGTTTCATGTCAGATCGTTTCACGAAAAAGTCAGTTCGATCCACCTATATAATATATATTTTCTTAATGTGTTGATGTGATCTGAGTACAGAGTAGCGATCGGAACATAGACGAAAGTATTTTTAGAACTATTTACATAACAGTGAAAACGTCGTATGTTATTTTCAGTGTGCACTGCGGAACGATGTGAGAAATTTTCACATAATAGCAAGCGCTCATGTTTGTCGATTTTTGACCACAACGCAGAACAAACGATATTCAACAAAGTACTACGTAGCTTGCGTGTCTGTTAACGCGCTCGATGTAAAGTGGTTTTAAATCAAAAATCACTCACGAGAGAAACCTGTTCTGGTTTACGCCCGTTTCCGGCGAGTTCGCTACTAACATGCCGAATTTGCTGGCTGTGTTAATTCACAGTTTGAGCTTGTTTTTATCCATAAGCCTCGATCTACCAGGTCATATTCCAGGCCTATCACTCCATGGAATTTGAATGTTAGGAGTTACTTTGACTTCTCAATTGTCAGCTGTGAATAGCAATATAACTCCTAGAAAAACCTAATGGAAAGTCATGAAGTTAGAAAGAATATCTGGGCATTTAAGGCTAGTCATACAATCGAAACCCTGTTCTTGTATGACAAAAGATGTAATAAACATGCAGGTAAGAAATAATATTTCAAATTACTTTCCTTTCGCTAGTAAGGCAGCTAATATTCGCACGAAAAGCTGATGATCTAAGTGCTTAGAGGCCATAAAAAAAGGACCAGTAAACGGAAGAAACTTTTGTATTATAAAGAAGAAATATTGATGTAATTGAATGACGAATAGGTTACATAGCAATTAACAACACGATCAAATGAGGTTACTGATTTCAATGGTATTATGGTAGTCTTTCCGGCTCCTCAATTTCTCTCTACAATGTCCTTCCATTCCTTTGACAAATCGGGTGTCGAATGTAGCCGGGTAATAATTACTGAGCTCTGTAAGGGAGGGAAATGAACACAACGCAATCAAAGTAGTTTAAGAAGTCCTACCAAATATGGTTCGATGCTTGTCTAAATATGAACAAAGGACATGCGCTTTAGAGTGTTTAGGCGTCATATCGAAGAAGAGGGAACTTTGAATTTGATTCACTTCAGTACTAACAGGCTTCGCAAGAAATCTGTTGCACATATTGCGTACGGAAAAGTAAGAAAGGACTCTCTGTAAACATCAAATATGTGCGATAAACAACAGCAAGAATCAGAAACGGATCGCATTAATGTGACATTTCTGTGCGATGAATGGAGATCATCTCGCGGTGGCATATCCACTTTTAACCGAGAGTTGGCCATTTATGTAGCCAAATTTGGGAGTTCTATCGTCAATGTTTATTGCTACGTACCCGAAAGCAGTGATCAGGACAGAGAGGATGCACGAAACAACAACGTCAATTTGGTAACTGCGGAAAGAGTCCCCGGATCCACGGACCCAATGGATCGCTTGAAAATTCCTCCGCCAGAAGTTCGAGTTGATGTTGTGGTTAGCCATGGACGGAAATTCGGAGTGGCTGCTTATTTCATAGCGTACTCCACCAGGTGTAAGTGGATCCAGTTCGTACACGTAGATTGTGAAGATCTTGGTAAACATAAAAAGGAAACAGAGGGGGTAAAAGACACAATAGAAGATAACGAGAACAAGCACGAGAGCGAATTGGAGCTATGCAAAGCAGCACACATGGTCATTTGCGTTGGCAGAATGCTCCGTGAAAAGTACGCATCTCTTCTACCCGAAATAAATGTTGAAGTCCTAACACCAGGAATTTCCGAAAATTCTGATGAAAAAGGCTCAAAGGCTAACTTGAAGGAATTCAAGGTCTTCGTCTTCGGACGATTACAGAACGAAGATCTTAAAGTAAAAGGCCTCGATATCATTGGTAAAGCAGTGGCGTTGATGGAAACGAAATTTAAATTGATTTGCGTGGGCTCTCCAGCGGGTAAACAAAAAGAACTTGAGAAATGGTTTCGTAAGAAACAGAAAATCACCCGCAAAAAACTGACAATCCGTCGTTATCGAGAGCACGACAAAGTGATAGAAATGTTCAGAGAGGCGGATTTAGTGGTTTTGCCTTCTCGCGTCGAGGGGTTCGGTTTGATCGCCCTTGAGGCGATTTCTGCCGGCATACCGGTTCTCGTATCAAGTCAGGCCGGCATTTCCGAATCACTTCGGGAGGTGGACGGTGGATGTGATGTAATTGTGGAACCAAATAAGCCAGAAGAGTGGGCAAGGAGAATTAACGAGTTCTCCTCCCAAACCACTCAAGAGAGATATGGAAAAGGCTCAAAGGCTAACTTGAAGGAATTCAAGGTCTTCGTCTTCGGACGATTACAGAACGAAGATCTTAAAGTAAAAGGCCTCGATATCATTGGTAAAGCAGTGGCGTTGATGGAAACGAAATTTAAATTGATTTGCGTGGGCTCTCCAGCGGGTAAACAAAAAGAACTTGAGAAATGGTTTCGTAAGAAACAGAAAATCACCCGCAAAAAACTGACAATCCGTCGTTATCGAGAGCACGACAAAGTGATAGAAATGTTCAGAGAGGCGGATTTAGTGGTTTTGCCTTCTCGCGTCGAGGGGTTCGGTTTGATCGCCCTTGAGGCGATTTCTGCCGGCATACCGGTTCTCGTATCAAGTCAGGCCGGCATTTCCGAATCACTTCGGGAGGTGGACGGTGGATGTGATGTAATTGTGGAACCAAATAAGCCAGAAGAGTGGGCAAGGAGAATTAACGAGTTCTCCTCCCAAACCACTCAAGAGAGATATGGAAAGGCTCTTCGCCTTCGGGAGAATTACCAGCAAATTTATTCCTGGCAGGAAGAGACAGAAAAATTCATAAATCTGGTCAAGCATGTTCTTGGTGGTGGTATGTGGATACTAGTTACTCGACCATTGCTACACCTCATTCAAAAGTTTTCCCAAAGTGTATCAATTTTCGTTCGAGTTGTAACTCACTGTAGTAATTGGTTCAATTTTTCGATGACGATGCAGACAGAAAATTATTAAGGTTTAGACTGGCAAACATTTTATTTTATGTAGTCTTGTAAGGATAAAATTTAAAATTTAAAGTGAAAAGAAAATTTTACTGAAAGAAAATATGATGAACACCTAACAGTTTGTTTTTGTTTTTGTTTAAAATTGCAATATATCCAATATTATGCTTTGTGTAACGGGAAATGAAATAAAGCGACTCTAATTTTATGATTATTTATCTACTTCAAAAGGCGACAGCGTGTCAGACAAGGAGAATGCCGGGGTTGAAAAACTTGTGATAAAATCAAAGAAGGTTTCCTCTGGAAATCAACTACACCGAACACCTCTGGGAGAGGTGCCAAACATAAAGCGGAAACATGAGAAAGAAACTGGGCACAGCCCAGATCAAGTCCCCAAAGCAGCGAAGAGGCTCCGATCCAGGAAGGCTGTGTGTACCCTTTGCCCTAGCATCATCAAAGAAAAGCAACCAGCCTGGTTTGATACAGGAGAAGAGCCCGTGCAAGTAAAAAATAAATAAATAAAAAAACACAAACAGGTCCATTGATCAACGTGGAATATGATCCTAACCTTATTCTGATCCTTTGACTGACCCTAAAATGATCATTTGTTTTCTGTCATTAGGCCATCTCTTGATGAAAGATCCTGTCCCCTTTTCAATTAAAGAAAAATGTTGCATATAATTTTACATTGGTGATTTTTATCCCGAGGCATCATCCTTGAATTAATGGATGCAGTAAGGCTGCAATATAATCCACTAGATGGGTTCAAATTTTTGGGTTGTTCCTGCACAGTTGCTGGGACCATAGCAAAATCATAATTGCAGTTTTTTCGTTTTCACAAAAATTGGTTTTAGCTTTATTTAAAGATATAATTCCTAGCCATATTTGATGCTGAATCAATATTTTATTAACATTAAAGATGAAAAGTAATTCTCATAGATTAATATACTTCACGTTATGAATTCCAACATTTTGTTACTCTATGACCTACAGAAGTGCACAACTGTGTTTCACCTCCCCCTTCATATTTTCAGACCTTATTGAGACATTTCCACCATAACCATAATATTGTAGTTTAAGAATGAATAAAGTTCCTCAGCTAAATGAGAATCCTCATGAATATTTTTTTTATCAATACCATGTTGTTAATCATAAGCTGTTTCTTTGTTCAAATTGGAAAAAAATACTCATTAGTCTTCACAAACAAAGCTTAAATTTTTATGTTTCCCCTGAAATGTGAGGTGCAAGGGATTTTCATCGACTAATCATTTCCTAATGTTAGACCAAATTCTGGTGGCATTTATGTGTTCTTGGGTATTTTCTTATTATTCGCCACTAACAATTCCTCTACAGATATCAAAGGGGAATGGGGTGCCATTACAATTCTCTAAGGGTGCTTGCTGGTGAATAACAACTGAAAATAGTCATCTTTGAGACAGCCAATCCGTAAGCATGGAAAGCTTAATTCACTTCTTTAGTATATGATATATTTACAATCATATCATCACAATTGAGAAATACCACAAAAACTGAAATTTCTGTATGGTTCTTAAAAGGACCCATAATGGACCTCAACTAAGAAAACTGATTTTTTTTTTTTTAAAGAATGATTACATGCCATAAAAAGGCTGGTTTTTTTTTTCTCTCTCTCAGAAAACATGAGTGTTACACATTAAAACTCAGTTACCTTGAGGGGGAAAGACTTCTTCCACCTGCATGTCAAATGGGTGCTGTTTTCTTATCTTAGTACTCTACTTTTACTTACTTTTTGCAGTTATAATTTATAGTAAAGTTAGCTATATGGTAGCTAGTAATAGTTTACATTAAAAGGTATTGGAGAGAATGATGGAAAGGGATATCAGGGCTTCCCTACAAGCTATCACAGAGTCTACCAATTATTCTGTAATTCATAAAGTACCCCACCCACTGATGATGAACTCATGATCAAAATTTTTTTTCCATTATTTATATTATTACTACTATTTAAGCCATTTGAATTTCCAAAAGAGCTTATATCAACCTTAAAAAGTAGTAAGATAATAAGAATTGATTATGGAAGTGTCTACTCTGGGTAACCAGGCTAGAAGTAAACATGCAAACATAATTCCTATAACAATGTTAACTATGTGGTAAAGGAGACGTGAGGGACGCCTGTGTCTTCCATGGCCATTTTTTTTAAAATGTTCAATCACTCCTTCAAGGGAATATTTCTGAGGACTGTAACCAAGATGACTGCAAGCTTTCTTCATACTAAAGTAATGAGTGACTGCTGTCTTGTAAACCTGTGCCAAAAGAAGAAAAGAGTAATTTTTTTTGGTTAAAACTTTTGAAGTGATCAGCATTTCATTTCTCCCCACACCATCAGCACACTGTCATCAGCAATGGTCAGGAGAACCAAGGAACTCATCTTAAAAAAGGAAATTGAACTGATCTTTAACAAACTTTTACACTAATTGAGGAAAGAAAATGTATGAAAACTAGCAAGGTGAAGTCATATGTTGATGGGTTTAAGAGCTGAAAAGTCACTGGAAAGTCAGTCATGTTTTGGCGTTACTCCACCCTTACTCCCCAGATCTGACCCAGAGTTCTCCTACATTCTACTTACCCTATATATTTTCTTGGAAAGAGAGAAAGATTGAAAGATTTTAGTGTCAAGTCTAGATAACAACCTGATGAGCTGAAGTGTTTGTCTAACGTCATCATACCTTTACTGTATAATGCTTTGACACAATTATTTCCCACTTGATTGTTAAGATGACATACAAACATTGCTACTTATTTCCCTATTTTCATGTAGTTTCCCATTTCTACACAAGTTTATGGTTATGTGAGTTTGCTGGTAAATAGTACCTCTGTTCTTGTGAGGAGCGGCTGAAAGTTATAAATATATCTTCCAATCACTGAGTGAACCAGTTCTGTTAAAAATGCTACAAACAGAAAATCTCTCTATTAGATTTAAACTTATTTAGAGGAGTTTGTGTTCTCTGACTGCCTCATTAAATCATTGATCAATCATAATCCAACTTTATACTCTTTAATTAATCTCAGTAGATAAAAGTAGTGAACAATATACTAGTTTTGCAGAGCTAACTGGCATATAATGGAAATTGGGCCACTTGAAATCCAATTTGGTCTGCATGCAATCACAAGCCTTAGGTCAGTGCTGAAACAAGAAAAACTGCCAGCTAGAACCCCACTTTGTCATTCACAAACAGAGTGACTGAAATACTCAGATGATTAAATATCCTCTTACCAAATAATATAAATACAAACTACCAGGGACTTAAGAAAAACTGAAAATAACTGTAGGTCATACACATCAAAAAATCATCATATGATAACTTGACAACATCATAAATAAATGAATTATTAAATTAGTTTTAATTAATTAAATAAGCTTAGTGGACAGATTAATGCACTGAACAACAATAGAAAGGATAGAAGAAAGATCATAGAAAACAAAAAATGTGAGTATTTATCTTATTAATAAGAATCTAGACCTTAATAACTGAGAGGTCCATAAATAAAAATATTACATAAATTTAACTTACCAACCATATATACAAGAGTTATTGGCAACTTTAATTTGGGAAATTTGTATCCCAAACCTTCAACCTATTTGAAAAATTATTAAAAAAAATTTAAGTCAGAAAATAGAAAATGTCAAATAGTGATGATTCCAAGAGACAGTTTAGGTCCTGAGGCATAAATTTTTTCTTTAGAATTAGGCCATCTTTCCTAATTTTAATTTCTTTTCCTTAATATTTCTTTGATTTGTTTGACTGAGACAAAGGAGAGAGGATAAATGAAAATGAAAGAGAGGAAAAGGAAATTTTACCAAATCTTAAATCTGAATTCCAAACTTAAACCTACTCAGACAAGTAAAGGAGAAAGACAAAACTATAGGGCAGGAAGAGAATGGGCTTACACTGCTTAATATGTAACTGCTTGCTTGCTTGCTTGTTTAAGGTTCAATAACCACAACACTTCTTCATCAAGGAAAAAATATTTTTAAATATCCACTTAAAAAAACATTTGACTTACCAAAGGTCTGAAGAACTCAAAATTGTTTACGGGGGAGTCATCTGAAATAAAATACGCTTCACCAGCCTGAAATATAACCCATAAAAAAACAAGAATTATCTATCAAATATAATAATAATGGAAGTCTATTTTAGGAAATTAATTGTATGCAAAACATACCACCAAAATTATCCTCAAACTTCAACTCTTGGTTCTTTGACATCAATAATTCTGTTGTTACATAATTTATGTATTCCTTACTTACAGCTATGGAATCTGCCTCCATAAGAGTTTTTCCTGCCAAAATGTGAGCTTGAACCAGATTATTTACATGAACAAAGTCAACAATAGAGTCATCTTGGCCATAAGTGAAGGCAAAAAGGCCTCTCTCAATATATGACTGAAAATAGAGAAATACAAAAGATGTGAATCTCATCAGGGCTGAAGATCAGGCTCTGGTGCAAGTCGACTGACAGCACCCTTGGAGTCAGAGGATGAAAAGTTATAAGAATAAAGAAACAGTCAATTAAGGGATTATTAGTTGATCCAAAACCAAGTTCCTTGAAGTAACATCATAGCAGTTGTAAGGCAGACAGTAGAGACAATTACTCAATAATGAGATCTTAGGCGTAAAAGGGTTACAGGACTTGAAGAAAACCAGTATAACAACAGCAACAAGTGTGAACAAAAGATTTTACATTGAGCAGATTAATAGCTCTGCATAAATATCTGCATTCAAAACTATGTACACTTCCTAACGGTTTTCTGCAAACAACAAAGTGAAATCAACATAGTTTGTGCTGTCTTGGAACCTCAATGGCCAATTTTTCACAATTTCATCGAGCCTACCCCTACACACTCTGCTGTAATTCAACGAAGTCTGGCACCATTAAAGACAGTTAACACATCATGTTATTTACAAAATATTGGAGGTTCATTTTATTATCTAGCTATGTTTTCCTAAGCATCAACACTGTGACAACTCACACTCCCTTTCATGTTAAGGTTTATTGTTGCAGATCAATTAACTTTCACAAGTACCGCTCTATCCACACAGGAAGGGTGCCCTATTGACAAAATTGCTGAGATTACATTGCACACCATTTTACCTTGGAAGTAGCAGTTCTTTTCAAATCATCTAATTTACACATATTACAAAAATATCCAGCACTATGGGCCACTTAAAGCTTTATTTTGCAAAAATGTATCAGTAATAATATTCTAGAGCCAAGGAAAATAAAATAGAATTTTACATTAAGCTTACCACAATTCTGGGTAAATGTCTCAATTCTCCTTCTCCGTAGATACCAGCTGGTCTTAAAGCACAGGTCTTGAGAATTTTCCCATCTGTCAATGATTTCCAGGCAATGAAATGAATTACAAGTGGGTTCACTATTTTTTAGATGAATTTTGGTATTTACCAGACAGCAAGCCAAGTTTTTTTGGTGTAAAAGACTTACAATCACGTTTCCTTCAGTTTAATAAGAGGAATGTGTTAGTCAAAATTGTAATTTGGACTAAAAGTGATGGATGTTTTTTAAAAGGTTGGTATATTTTTCAATCACTCCTGTTAAAAAACAAACAAACAAAACAAAAACAAAAGACATGGAAGGCTGCAGCTTGAACTTATCTTAATTAAGAAAATCCTTATTTCCTTAATTTTTCTTCTAAATGACAGCTTTACTTCATAATACAATTCATTACATACAAGACTACTACAACTAAATATACATTGACTTTCAGGAAAAAGTTACAGCATACATACAATAAATCAAATTACATACATACATAGGAAAAAAAAGAAGAATGGAGAAAGAAAAATAAAATAAAGAAAAGTAAACTAGCAACATTACAAAAAAACAGAACATTCCTGTGTGGTTCTGGGTATGAAATTACAATGTTGCTATGGAAGAGGGGAACTGTTATGGTTTAAAAGTAAAAAATAAACCTCAACAAACAGTCACCAGACAAACTGAAGATAAACTTTAACTTATCTGTTCTACATTCCATTTAATGCCTCGGTTCTTTTTAACTTTTTGAAACCCTTATTTTTATGTTAAGTATGCAAATTACAAAACTTGTTTCATCTGAGGCCTCATCATTTCATTGCCATAAAACATTTGAATTAATATAGCAACATGTGAAAAAAATAGGTACTTAATAACAGTCCATGAGATGTGGACACAATTCCATGCATTTTTTTTCCCAGAGGCACCTAAAACTGTAAAGTTGATGCTCTCAGAATGCAAGACCAACTCTCAATCTCAGGTCACCTACAGCAGCTATAAAGTGCTCAGGAGGAGAAGTCCCATGGGAAACTTATAAGGGAATTCTTAATAAACATTTTACACTTCATGGTAATTATCTTTACAATATACCTCAATATCTGTATCATATAAAAAACTAAGCTGCTCTGAATTTATCTCTAAAAATCCAGGCAAATGGTTAGTAGAAATTGAAGGATGTTTTACTTAATAAGGCAATGTTGATATAAAAATCTCACCTTTTAATAGTAAACCATTAGCATTCAAAACAGTTTGCTCTGCTATGGACTTTGTTCTGGAATAATGGTCAGGATGCTGACAAAAGTCAAAAGAGAAAATTTCTCATACCTGACCAAAAGTATAACTTATTAATCCATGACTACTTTTTCCCCCCACTCGCAGCAAAAATTGATATTGAAAGAAAATTATCAATTTCCAGTTTTCTCTCTACACAAAATTTTCTATTTTATTTTTGTATGCCTTTTTTTTGGTCACAATTTACCAACCTCATACATCTTTATTCAGAACTTCTTCAGTAATCTCAAGAAGTACATGGAACATGCTTGCAACATTTTCGGAAACTGGATAACTTAGATAAAGGAGTTGAAAACTCTACTTAAAAGAGATCTCTCACATGCTAGCATGTGTATCATGTAAATGGACCATCAAAATCATGCATGTGTATCATGTAAATGGACTGTCAAAATAGGAATAAGCAGACTTTGAATTTTTGCACAAAAATTAGTTGTCTTTAAAGCAAAGTTGCATACTCCAGAGAGTTTTCTTTCTGGTTTGGTTCATGTTTCTTTATACCAAATGGACTACTATATGTATATGTGAATGTTTCAAGCTTAACTCAAGAGACAACAAATACATTATAGAATAATTACCTTTTCTAGAGGTAAATATGGCAAAGTCTCATCTCCATTTCTGATAACCTGTCCTCCAAAAACCACATTGTATGTACTTGTATAGACAAGATGAGCCACATTATGCTGACGGCAGGCTTGAAAGAATGATTAAACAATTTCATTAAGAATGGTTTTGTTTGTTTTAGGAGAATCAAAGAATAATTCAAAATCAAAAAAATTTGTTAGTAAACTTAAATTCCAGGCCACGTTTTACATGCTACTGAATTTACAGACCTTCAATGACATTTTTTGTTCCTAGAATGTTGACCTTCTCTATTTGTTCTCTACGTAACTGAAAATAACACACATAATTTAAAATAAATCACAGTTCAATTTTAAAATTGATCCCATATCTTTCCTTCATTTTATCTTGATCGACTGTCTTTCATGATAATATACAGCCAGATGCCACAAGAGTCTGAGTTGCAAACACATCACCAGTTAATGAGTGGAAGTCCCATTCCAGTTCCAGATGATTTCTACCACAGCCATCTCAATGTGGACCATGTCTAAGAACAGTCCAACTGAGAAACACCCATTAATCCCTTAACATGACTAGCATCTAATTTCTCCTAACAGTATCCCCCCTGAGTCAAACAATAGGATCATTAGAATAAAGGAAATGATCACCAGATTACAAATACTTTGATTGTTAAACAGATTCTCTTTGTCAGTACCATGGGATATGTATAGGGAACAGTATGGAGAATATGGATACCAATGTCAACAGGATTTAAGGTGAAGACAAGCTTGCTACCCAATGAACAATCATGTCGCAGCTTATTCCAGTTAAGGAGCAAAGGCAACAAGCAGTATTGGTACATCCACTTCACAGGATTTCAGTCTAAAAGAATCAGTTTTGACTGAGTAGGGTTGGACTAGAAAAAGACAGAGCAGACAAAGCAGACAGAGTAGACAGAGCAGACAGAGAAACATTTATCTCTAAATTGTGACATTTGAAACAAGCACAGAGACAGAGCTCTGCACATCTTTGAATCCACAACCCGGAGGCAAATGTATTTTTGTCTGGCCCTACCATTCACTCAATAAGTACAACATACTAACTTGCTCTCTTCCAGACATTCCATATGATGCACTATGAAAAACCACATCAATCTGATGACTGATAAATATCTTTCTTACATCTTCTTTACTTGTTATATCCCCCTAAAACATAAATATGAATCTTATGACATAAAAGGAGACTTAACTTTATCATTAGATTTTTAAAAAAATTCACTTAATTCCTGATATCACATTATCATTCGTAAGGTGAAGTGGAAATTATATGAGAATTCTAGAATGGCGGGTGTCCAATGTTTAGAAAAGACTTCCCACCACCGGGTGTCTGACACAGCAAATTCAAATAACTTCCATGCATTTTCCCCATAGTAAAATTTAATATTTTCTTCTGTCCGTAGCACAAAGGAAAGATCCGAATGGAGTTGTTTTGGCAAAATAATCAAAGTGAATTACGTAATTTACCGATCAAGTCTCTACCTGAAAACACTCCATTTGCTCGTACACAACATCATCCAACGGCCACGAGATGTCAAACAATACAACCACTGCTCCCAACTTCTTCAGCTCATTCCCCAGCTTGTGGCCAAAATATCCTCCTCCTCCAGTCACAAGAATTTTTTTTCCTTGGACCATACCAACATCCGTTCACAGATTAACCTCCTAACTCAGATTTTCGTACCCGCTTAAATAAACGAGCCTGCATTCAACCAGCTGCAACGTACCTACGCCACAGGCTACAAAACCAGCAGGGTGGTGTAATAATCATGTTTCATAGCCGAGGAGGGGTTTTGCCTTTCCCCCCCCCCCGCCACGCCCCGCCCAGCCCAATGCTGTCATGTGATAGTGAATGAACTAAAATAACTCATTAAACCGAAAGTCATAGACTGAGGAAGGCGGAAGTCGACTTGAAAGACTATTGTTATCAGTGTTTAGCGGTGTTTAACCAGTTCATTTTTCTATAAGTAATAATTTCAGCTCCCATGAAGTGATTTCAGATCATCAGCACAGCGTGACACTGAACGGAATACGTACAGGACCTTCACTTCCCGAACATACCAACAAAGACTTGGTAAGCCAACTCATGTTAACTTTTGATGCATGATGCCTAAAATTCTTACTGAAATGAAAAATGTTGGTAAATATCTGAGAGTAACTCATCACCTTTATTTTCAAACATCTTTTTTAAGACAAACAGTAGACAAAAACGTCTTCGAGGATGTCTCTTGCAAAAAATTTTGTCTGACAAAATTTAGGAGCGCCTATCTATTCCAGAATCCATGACAAAAATCTTGTGATTACATATTGATCAGGCAGTGTGCCCACTCCGATTGCATTGAATTATGGTGGGCTCCTGATTCAGGCGAAAAATTTCCAAATGACTACAAAAGACATTTCCATCTGATCACGTTTGATGGCTACGAGCAATATCGAGCTCATGAAATCAGATAACTTTCTTAGATGAGTCACAGACATTTCTTGGTCAGCTGCTAAAACAATGAATGTTGGGTCAAGTTTGTGCTTATTTATCTATATTTACACTCAAACCAACAAGTTTAAATAAGAATAAAGAGGAGGAATATTTTATTCAGTTTGCCTGGTAAACAAGGAAGCTTTGTCTGAAATTTTACAAAACTTAAAACTTTCGACAACTCGCGCCAAGATCTAACAGTAGGCTGGATATTTTTAATGCGAGGCTGAATAAAACGAGAAAAGGCATCAATTAGAGTATTTGCCGCCGTTTTCTGAAGTCCTTGATTCTCGCCCTCTTTACAACTTCGACATACAGTCGAACCTCGATTATCCGGACTCGGTGGGACTAGGGCAAATAGTCCGGATAATCGAAAATATGAATATTAATTAGACAATGTAAACAAAAGAAATAAAGATAACACATTTTTAATTCTAAAAGTTTGCTTCAACAGATCGCTTTCGCTTCGTAGACATGTTGTCGTTTTGAGTTATGATCGTCTCGTGTGTTTACATAACCCACGCTCAGCTTAGCAACAAAACAATACTGAACAAATCAAAATTCAGCTGAATGCATTAGAACACTTCTTGTCTCTTTTTGTCTCCGAGCGCTCGATCTTTCGAAAGCGGAGCGTGTAATGCGCTGTTTTAAACGCAATTTTCCTGACTTTTAACATAACTTCTGAAATTTTTTACCTCCTAAAGTTTTTAACATCTAAGGTCATTAATATTCATGAAAAAAACGGGACCAGAGAAAAAGTCCGGATAATCGAAAAGTCCGGATAATCGATGTCCGGATAATCGAGGTTCGACTGTACCGCATTTCTCATGTTCTTCTAGAACTATAACCGTTGAGAAATCCAATTTGAGGAACTCCATTTGACGCCAGTTGTACTATAATATTTAACTGCACTGGACCTGAGAAAGAATTTCGAAGGACTTAGTTTACACTTAAAGGTCATACGAACGGCGAGAGAAAAACGTACGACGTTTTCAAGAAAATATCAAAATATTCTCTTGACTTATTCAGATGGATAAAATTCCCACACAGCCCCATACTGTTGTTAAACAAATCTGTTTTCCCAATGGCAATGTATTGTTTATGTAATTGTTTTCTCTATCCGAGAACTGAATGCATAATGTAGTATGGGGCTGTGCGGAAATTTTCGAGTACATGTAAACAATTCTCGATTTTTCTAGTTTAATATTAAACTCTTTGGTTTTGGATCCTTTGTGTTCAGTCATGGTTATCATTTAATTGGCCGCTCTGGCTGAAAGTATATTGGGTAAAATTTCCGCACAGCTCCATACTACATTATGCATTCAGTTCTTGGATAGAGAAAACAGTGACAAAAACAATACATTGCCATTGCGGAAACAGATTTGTTTAACAATAGTATGAGGCTGTGCAGAAATTTTACTCCAGTTCAACCATAATATTTAACTGCACTGGACAAGAGAAAGAATTTTGATGCTACACTTGAAGGTCATTTGAAAGGCAAGAGAAAAATGTACGACTTTTTCAAGAGAATATTGAAATATTCTCTTGGCTTATTAAGATGGGTAAAATTCCCACATAGCCTCATACTGTTGTTAAACAAATCTGTTTTCCCAATGGCAATGTATTGTTTATTTCATTGTTTTCTCTATCCAAGAACTGAATGCATAATGTAGTTGGGGACTGTACGGAAATTTTACCATTCTAGTGTAAACAATTCTAGATTTTTCTCATTTACGATTAAAATCTTCAGTTTTGGTTCTTTCGTATTTGGTCTTGGCACAGAACCCATACTACATTATACATTCAGTTCTCAATAGAGAAAACAATGACAAAAACAATACATTGCCATTGGGAAAACAGATTTGTTTTACAATAGTATGGGGCTGTACGGAAATTTTACCCCATGCTGTGAGTTAATATTTACCATTCAATTGTAAGCAATTCTAGATTTTTCTTCTTTAAGATTAAACTCGGTAAAGTTTCCACACAGCTCCATACTACTGTAAAACAAATCTGTTTTCTCAATGGAAATGTAATGTTTTTGTCATTGTTTTCTCTACTCAAGAACTAAATGCATAATGTAGGATGAGGTTGTGCGAAAATTTTACCTATTAGGTAAAATTTCCGCACAGCCCCACACTACATTATACATTCAGTTCTTGGATAGAGAAAACAATGACAAAAACAATGCATTGCCATTGGGAAAACAGATTTGTTTTACAGGGCGTGAAATTGCACCTAATACAGGCGCCAATGCGACTAAATTTTTTACTTTGGCGACCAAATCCTGAAAATTAGTTGCCAAATTGGCGACTAGAATGTTTCATCATAACCTTACCTAGAGATATAGTAAATTAAAAAGATTTGCAAAGATAAATCCGAGGCAAACTTCCTCGTTAAATTTGTTTCCAAAACGCAGCACATGCATCAAGATCGATCACTAGACGCCATCTTGGATTTAGGTGAGCTTGAACATTGCATATCATCCATCCTAGTGTCCACTTTGTATCACGTTAAAGATCTTTTCCCTAACTTAATTTCTAGAACGATGACAGCGTAAAAAAAAGGGTTTGTTTGTCTTTGAAAATGGCAACCAACTTCTTTTGAATTGGCTACCACTTTGAAGAATTTAGGAGCCAAGTGGCTATCAGAAAAAAATAATTAATTTCACGCCCTGTTTTACAATAGTAAGGGGCTGTGTGGAAATTTTACCCCACACTCTAAGTTATAATATGAAAAAGAAAGATTTTGTTGATAACTGCATATAGGAACCTTGTTTTCTGTTTAGACTGTTTCTTGGGTCATGTTGGAGTAAATTACATTTTCTCAGCAATCTAGATATTGTAGGATGAGGATAAATTTAGGAGTGCCTATTTATTTCAGAATCCATGACAAAAATCTTGTGATTACATATTGATTGTACACATGACAAAACTATGTCATAGCTTTTCATAAATATTTACAGGAATGGCATGCAGAATAATTTATTTAAACCCTGCAGGTAATTGTGAAACAATAATTGTTGTTAAAGTGCTAAAGATTTGACAAATTATTTGTCAAATCTTTAGCACTTTTAAAATAACCTTTTTTTTTGCACTGAAGTACCTCTCCTCTACATTGTTACCTGAAAACTTCATTTCTCTTTGCTGATCAGAAGGAACAAATTTTACTTTATAAAAAAGGCAATATGATTACATGCCAGCAACAGTAATTTCCAGCGGTCATTTAACACAGTGGTCTACAGTTAGTAATTTAACATTTTTTTGTGAATAAGTAATGAAAGTAATTCATTTTCTTGTGATTTTTATTTTAGCAACTACCTGTCCAACATAAAAGGCTCCTGCGATGTCGGGACAATCAAAGGTAGCATATCAAACAACTGTGTCTGAAAATCACAGCTGTGACCAAGTTGTTTTGTTCACTCTGGTGTCATTTCATTTTAAAGAAACTTCACTTCACTTCACATCAGTGCATCCCTGCCAACTCTCTCACTTTAGGAGCAAATTACTTGCCTACAGATACAAAACTTTGCAACTACATATATTACTGGTATTTACCAAGTAGGAGGTTGACGAGGAAAAAAACATTTATAAGAGAGTAAAATAAGTTCACATCAGTTTAAGATTAAGAGTCCAAATAGATGACTGTAGTAAGTTTTTATTTTTGGATGATTGAAGCTGAGGAAAAATATGTTCTACCTGTCTCATGTTTCACACTTTTTTTAGATAATAAATGATCATACAAGTTGGTTAGAATTGGATGATTTAAAGTTTGCTATGTCATGCAAAACCAAACTCTGAACATTTGACAAGGAAATACTTGTGTGTAACATTTTTTTGTGTGATATCAACCAGTAACGAATGCAGGTCACTTCTTAGATTATGAGATTACACAGTTGTATCACACTAACTCCACTATCCCCAACAATTGTTCTTTACTGTCTCACAGAAATTTTGCTCATAAGTTTGGTGAGTTTGTGAAGTTACTAAAAGAATTGAAAATCATGAAGTGTCTTTTAAAAGTAAAAATAATTCATAAATTAGTTTTTTTATATTCATATACCTTCAATTGTATTTTTCTAAGTCACAAAAATCTTGTGCTCACAGAACAATGCTGAGGAAAGAAAACTGAGAGTAACCCTTTTGAGTGCTGAATGGAAAGCATCAAGTGATGGAGACTTGACAACCATCAACAGAGAGCTA